CTCTTCCCAAACCCCACTCCCCATCTAAGCTGGTTTTAAAGCTGCCTTCTCTCTTCCAGGATCCCTCATAGTTTTGGCCCCATACGCCTTCTTATTTTCCGGCACTATGATGGATTGCTTTAGAAGCATATTCGTTAAGATGTTTTCACTGGGGAAAGCTGGGTGAAGAGTACATGGAACTCAGTGTATTATTTTTTGCAGCTTACTGGGAGTTTGTAATTATCTCAAAACTAAGGTTTTGGTTTTTTTTTTAAGCATTTTTGTCATTTCTAGGGATTTAAATTGAGAGGGGAACTCTGGAGCACGTGCTCAGTTGATCACTTTTATTCCAACCTGACTGTTTTGAATCATTACTAAAAAGTGTATAATTTTTCAAATGGTAATAAAATTCCACAGATTCTTTTTTTAAGAAGAAGGATTGAGGCAGATTGATAGATGCAGACATAAAAAGAAATTTATAATTTTTTAATTTATAAAAATAACTAAATTTTATGTTTGTCCTTTTTAACATAGAACTTGCATTTCTTTTCTAACTTGAAAGACAAAATCAGGGGATTAGAGTGAGTTACAAAGCTATGTTTCAGTAAAAAGTTCTCCAAAATGAATTGGAATAAACATAACTATGGATTTGATCATTCTAAAGATATCAGTTTGTGTCCACGTTCTGCAAATGTTTCCTATCAATGCTCTCTTTAATGGTGATAATCTAGTAAAGCTCTGTTGGATGAAGCATCATTAAACTTTATGTGAAAATAGATGAAATAATAAAAGCTCAATCACAGCACTCCTGTGAGGGTCACGAGTCAGTAGAGCATCTTCATTTTTAGGTGGGCTCACAGTGGGCCCCTTGGTGGAGTAAAGATACTTACTTGTTAGTCATTATTTTGAAGCATATTGTTACCCAGTTCCATCATTACCCAGCTCATCTCTTGGTATGTTTCAGGGCAATTCCATTTTATTATTACTTCTTATCACCCAGGGCCTTGGTAAAATTAAGCTTCTGAACCAGAAACTGGGCTTCCACCTGGTAATTCCTTTCCCCAGCTTGGGAGAAGCCTCACCCGTGAGCTAGTGCGTTCTGTCCAGTTCAATGTCCGCCCCCAGAGGTGATGAGATTTGGAAGGGGAGGGTCCCCGACAGTGTGCCAGCTCAGTGTCTCTCTGTTCTTGCACTTTCTAAAACAAACAGCTGCATGTAAGTAATTCCGTTAACTCTATTTTCCACAGGCTTTCTGGAAAGGACATAAACAACGGGCGTCATACATGCGCAGGCGACAAATGTTCATTGATAATACTCCTTCTATCGTGAAGGTAAACAGCCTTTCTTACCTGAGCAAGTGCTTGACATAAACTTTTCCCTTCATTTTCATTTTGCTTCTGGAAGACAGACTCTGTACGAGCCTTGAAGTCAGAAGCAAGTCCTGGGTTTGAGTTTTACCTCCACTACGCGCTTAACTGATCATCTTTCAGCAAGTCCATTAAAACATATGTATTATCTCTGGTCCTTTATAATAAATGACCTTTCTCTAAAAAGTCCCAGTTGATTAGTTAAAATCTAGGGGAAACCCAGCTTTATTTTATGTTCCTCCTATCATATTCGCTAATAATATTTAGAATGCTCAAATTCAACAGTGCAAACCTTAGTTGTAAGGCAAATGCAAACCAGTGACAAGAGGAGGTGGAGACAGTTAGGGGCTGTATGTGGGTGGTAGGCCATCTGACCCAGCTTCCCCTGAGGCGGGCTGCTCCGAGCTTAGAGAAAGAACAGGCACTGGGGTGCCCACGCTCCCAGAGCCAAAATCCAAAGGACTGTACAGCTGTGAACTTGTAACAACTTGGAAATCCAGATTGAAGAAGAGTAGGGCTGAAGAGAGATGGGAATAGATGAGATTCATTAAGACTTGAAACTGTGAAGACCGAGATGACATGGTCTAGACCCCATTGTGCATTATTAGCTCCTGAATGAAAAGATGTCCTGTGCTCACCATGAAACACATGCCTCTTCTCTCAGAAAACTGTGGGTCACAGTTGGTCCCTCATGAGACCTCTTGAAATATTTTCCTGGAAAGACCTGAAGAATATTGGGTGCATTTAAGGGATGTTAAAAGCAACCCTCGTCTTAGTTTGGTTTGATCCCTGACCCATTGCAACTCTTAGCAAAGTGCTTTACCTGCTTGGCTTTTACTTATTAAGATTGAAGCAAAATGGTACAAAGAGCCATATTACCTTCCCCACCATTACATGTAAAATGTTCTGAACCCCTAGGAGAAAAAGCAAGGAAAGAAGTAGGAGATGAATATTAGGCGTTAGATGTTTACTATTCAGTAGGCTGCTAATTTTTACTTTTTTCAATCAAATAAAATAATGCTATTTTTTTAGAAAGACTGCAAAAAGTGATATTAAAAGTTGTTTGATAATTGCTCTGATTTCTCTATGTAACAACCTGGTTTTTAGATTCAGTCCTGGTTCCGGATGGTAACAGCACGAAAGAATTACCTCTCACGACTGCAGTATTTCAGAGATCATGTAAGAGACACATGTGTGGATTTTTCTCCTGACTGAGAATGAACTAAATGAATACTTTGTTGAATGTTAGCATCAAATGATTTTTAAATGGTAGAATCGAACACTAGGAGGAAAGTACAGGTTGTAAAACTCAATACGGTAATTTTTGGAGGCTTCTCGCATTTTTTTATTCATAACTCATATTCAGAGTGAGATTGTACCATCCAAGACTGGATAGGAAAGGCATGAGGGAAAAGTGGTGTGAGCTAGTGATGTCAAAGAGAAAAGATTCTAATGAAGGATGTTCCAAAACTGGCTCATAATGTTTTTATTGTTGCTAACTGAGTAATTTAAATAGAAGCCCAAAGGAGGAATTTTTTCAAGATCTTTAAAGCACAGATACGTGGACATAGATTGGACCATCTATGTTTGGTGGTAAAATTCTTTTCCCTTTTTAGACGTCTTTATTTAAACAGTCCCTTTGCAATCCTGTTTATACTTTTAGCTAACTTATCTGACCCTTTCTTCAAAAGGATTGCAAAAATAAACATTGAAGACGCCATTTCTAAATACTGTCGGTTCTAAATAGTGTCTGTTCTTCAATAGGTCTAAATTTTAAAGTAGTGGAGTAGATGGAACTCTGGAAGGTCATGACTCGTCTTATTCTTTTGCAGAGCAATGAAATTGTGAAAATACAGTCTCTGTTGAGAGCAAACAAAGCTAGAGATGACTACAAAACACTGGGTAAGTGGGAGCATTCTGAAACAAAGTAGCCCTTATAAGCCCGGCAAGGACACGTTCTCTCCATCTGAGTCACTTCAGTGGCTACTGCAAGGATAGAAGATGTCCATTATTTCCAGTAGGTTTTGACCGTCTCAGGCCTCAGGTTCTGAACCAGTACACAAAGGGATGACAGGAGATGGGCCTTTCTGTCTAAGTGGAGTAGATAGGACTTGTTCAAAAAGAATGAACTTGGGAGGGGGATAAATTAGGAGTTTGGGATTAACAGACACACTACTATATATAAAATGGACCAATAAGGTCCTACTATATAGCAAAGGGAACTACATTCAATATCTTGTAATAAACCTATAATGGAAAAGAATCTGAAAAAGAGTATGTATATCACATACATATACATAACCAAACCACTTTGTCATACACCTGAAACTAACACAACATTGTAAATTGACTACCTCAATTAGAAAAAAATGGAGTCAGCATAAATGCTGATATTTTTATATTAAATTTGAGCTAAACTCAGGAATATAATGCCTAAGAGTTAGCTAGAAAATAAACATGTATTTGAATACTGTTTAAGGTATTAGTGGCCAATGATTTTTTCCTCTCGTTTTAAGAATAAAACAGTCATGTAAGAAATTTGGAAATACGAGTAAGAAGGGGAAAAGCACATCGTTTCCTCTCGTAAAGATAACTTACAGACATCTTCCTGTAATTTCACTCTGGACTTCTCACAGTACCTATGGTTTTTAAATTTTTCTTTCTTATAGTACTAGTATATGCCACTTGTAGAAAGTTTGAAAACAGCAAAATAAAAGAAGAATCACCCAGAAATAGCATTCACATTTTGTGCTCTTTTTCAGTCCCAACTCTGCATATGTTTGTTAATTTTTTTTTTTACGTAGTGAAGATTGTTCTTTATATGCTTGATTTTTAATATTCTAATTATCACATGAATGTGTGATAAAGGGTGTGTCCTAGATTAAGTGTAGCAGAGCTTGCTGATAGGTTTATTAGTACTGCTCAGGTTCTTAACGTATTTAGATCATTCAAGATTCGTTTTGAGAGGGCAAAAAAAAAACCACACACACATTGTGTATTTTAGTGATGAAAGTGGCATTATGTTCTCTCTGACTGCCTTGTTTCATATTTTTATTCTTTGAAAGAAATAAAGAACTGTTTAGTACTATTCCTAGCACAGTGCCTCGTAAGTAGTTCCGCCCACACCCTTTATTTTCTAAACCCTGTCTGAGTTACAGGGTGAAGTGTATGGCCCAGGAAACCTCTTCCCTGCTACTTGGTAAAGAAAAGTCTCAGCAAGCCTCAGAGGCTAGGTTCTGCCTTGAGCCTGTGGAATCCACTGGACACACTTCGTTCCACTAGATTCCAGAATTCAACACAAAGACTGAGGAAAGGTCACTGGTCTTTCAAGGCCACGCGGCTCCACTTTGGAATTGATGGGCGTTATCTGTCAGGTGCAGGTGTCTTCAGTATTTTGCAAGGAGGCTGAATAGAGGGTTGGTTTTCTGAGCCCTAACATACTAAAATAGGTAATTTAAGGGTAAATCTTCCAGATGAACACAGGCTGCTTTTCATTTCCTTCCAGGAGGCATGTTTCTGTGGTTACCTGTGGTGATGCCCATCACTCACTTACTTTTTTAAAAAAATGTATTTAGTTACAAAGACAAAAGAAATTCCAATTAAGAAATCGAGGTGATTCCCTGTTAAAGCGTAAAAGGCAGATGGAAACTATGTTAGTGAATAAGTTTGATCAGAGCTGCTCTGGGCTTTAGCAAATAGGTGGCTTTGTGGTGACCAAGCTGTAAATTCTCACTTCGTTCTCAGTTCAGCATCTTTAAGCTGAACTGAGAAAACTAAGCATAAAACTAAGACATGGAGTCATAAAACTGAGGCATTTATTTAAGCTGAAAAATAGATCACTTTTCTTAGTCTGTCGTCATCTATTTTCACCCATTCCCTCTGGAAGGGCATTGAATGTATTCAGGTTTGGAAGTTGCCGGAGCTGTAACGTGGCTACTTTTAAGGGCTGACTGTAAAGTCGTGCAATTCCCTGAAATGAAAGGGCCACAAAGTGGTGCGAAGATATCACAAAGATGCCAAAAAACTGACGGTTGATAGAGGAACTACTAAATTGGAGTCAGAATGATTAGTAAAGCTAAAATACTAATTTGTTTCTACCAGGCCTACTAGCACATAAAAGGATACACAGTCCTTAGGAGCAGGGGAGAGAACTTTAGACACAGATGAGATGGTCTCAGCTGTGCTGCATGAATGAGCTACAGGAACGGTGTGTGGCTCAGGCTGTTTCTGAAGTGGTCATGTCACCAGCAATATCCTTGCTGAAGTAGAAGGAAAATAAATTCACACATGCTTCAGGGATCAGGAAACAAAGGGTCCACGCGTGACCCAAGATAACTTGGAATCTAGTGGAAATGAGGTATTATTATCTCATAGATTCTGCAGCCTGGAGTCAGAACCGAACCTCTGAAGCTTCCTAAGGCTTTTCGTTGACCACTGCCAAGAAAGACCATCAGAAGTGGCACAATAGTACTACCGATGACTCTAGATTTGGCTGTTCCTGCTGGCTTCATGCTGTTCATTGTCTGTGTTGTCAGCTGAACTCTTTATTCCTGTAGAGTCAGAACACCGCAGAGCCAAGCTGGAAGTAAAAGGGAGCTTGAGTAGGGCCTTCGAGGTAAAGGAGAGGATGGATATTGAGGTTACCACCACTGGACTGGGCTCTCTCAAGTCATCTTTGTATCACTGTATCTACTCATTCATCACTGAAGGTTGTTTATTTTTAAACACTGAAGATAGTTTATTCTTAGAGTTTACCCAGAGTAGGTCTCACTAAACACCTTAAAAAAAATTTTCCCCCCAAGTCAGAGTGCCAGGGGATTAAAGCATCATTAGAGTTGAAAGCACTAAGGAAAGCCCTTGTAGAATTGATACAGATACATTTCTCAGCCCCTGAGCCTGGTCTCTTGGGTCTTGAGTGCCTTCCTTGTCCATGATGAAAGGACAGTGACCTAGTTTCAATTTCTAAACGTGCTTTGTTTCTGCCAAGTAGAACATGTGTTCCAGTGGTCATTCCGTTGGCTCCTCTTGGGCCTCATAGTTTTCCCCTCACTGGCCTTTTCTAATTCACCTTTCACCTAGTTCCTGCTCCTTTCCCAAGGTTTTTGAGCTGAGAAAAAACACTTTCTGCTTCCTGCAAGAACAGAAACCTCTTATCTGGCTCAGCCACAAGCTCTCAGAGCCAAGACAACTCACATTAGCATTCTTTCCCAGGTTCCTCATCCATAAGTCACAGATAGATAGAACTGTCTCCTCAGTGCATGCATCCTGGGAGCAGTGTAAGAGAGAGCTGATAAACGAGTGTTAGATACTGGGGAAATAGTGAGGCCAGACATTATCAGTGGCATGCATTTATTTATATGATCAGTTTCCTTGTCCAGATTTTACATGAGTCACAATGATTCACCCTGGAGACCAGGTACTTCCGTTGCGATATTTTTCTGGTGATGCTTTATTGAAAGACCTGGTTTCTTTCCTATTAATGATCATTTCAAACATGCCCAGTTAAAGCATGCCTTTCCTTTCCTTGCAGTTGGCTCTGAAAACCCACCATTAACAGTAATCCGCAAATTTGTACACCTGTTGGACCAAAGTGACTTGGATTTTCAGGAGGAGCTGGAGGTAGCACGATTAAGGGAAGAGGTGGTGACCAAGATCAGGGGCAATCAGCAGCTTGAGAAAGACCTGAACCTGATGGACATTAAGATTGGGCTCCTGGTGAAGAACAGGATCACGCTGGAGGTCAGTGGGGTTCGTGGGACTCTTGGCTCTTAGAACAGAGAAGATGCTCATCTGTTTGCCCACAATACCTGGGTTCAGCTCAGCTCACCTGGAGTCCAGAAGGAGTGGTCCAAAGTCTGTTTACCATTTTTATTACCACTGAATGGTTCTAAGAGCTGCAAAATTGTATGCCCCCCTTTTATAACATTTGGTACCATCCAGAAGGGAAACTTACATGAAATAAAGCCTGCTTTCATCTGTACCTTCATAACAAGACTAAAGCCTTTCTATAAAAAGAAATTAATTTGTAGTAAAAAATGCCTATTTCAATATGAAAATACATGGGCCCACAACGGTAAGAAGGTGTGATGAAGTCACCTGAGGCTTGGGCCTCTTCACAGAATAACCACTGACAGAGTTTCAGGTGAGCCCAGTCAGGTGGATGGTGGAACTGCCCACGAGTTCATTTTCCAAGAGTGAAGACCAGCTCTTTGTGACATTCAGAATAAGCCAAGTGTGGTCTTCCCCCCACCCCTGCCACTTGACATGGAACCGCTGTCCTAGGAAATTAAGTTTATACTAAAATTCTAAGGGATATATATTGTGCTTATGTGTAAAATGATTAGATTCTAGGTTCAAGCAATTACATACAGAATTTTGACCTGCATAAATGACCAGCAGGACATTAAGAAATCCAGCCATGCAAGATGTAGACAATTATGTACACAGGACCATCCTACAAACTGCAGGACAGTTGAGCATCTCTCATCCCCCACTCCCTCCAATCAATAAGATGTTAATTTAACCTCCCCACACACATTTCCAGAATGAGCCCTACAGGGTGGCGTTTCCCAAATAACAGCCCCTAAATAAATAATGCAGTAGTTTTATATTATGAGAAACCTGCCGATGTCAGAGGTCCCTAAAACCACGTGAAAAGTCATTTTCACCCAAGAAGGGGAGATTTCTAGGGTAAGACCTCTCTCTACGTCTCTGCTCCTATGCCACGTCAACTTTCAGAGAACTGATAGGTCAGGCTGGGGGAAGCTGACCTTCTGGATATTTGGAGAAGACCTCCCTGGGTCAGAGGTAGAAAGCCAACTTCCGGTGAGGTTCTGGAAAACTAGGAGATGGGCAGGCATGGGAGGCTACCAGCTAAGAGCCCCTTGTCTCCAGTCCTCACACAGATACCAGCAAACGATGCAGAGAAAATAAGGAGTGTTATTTCCTTGCTGAGGAAATGATCATCTTCTCTAAACATTAAGAAATAAAACTACAATTTGAATATTCTGCATTTAACCTTTCATTTTTTTTAATCCAAAAAAAACCAATAGTACTTGAGTCTTCTTTTAAATAAATGTGTTTGTAGTGGGTCGGGAATATAGCTCAGTGGTAGTCTGCATGGTTAGCGTGCACGAGGTCCTGGGTTCAATCCCCAGTACCTCCATTAACCGAAAAAGAATAAGCATTTGTATTCTTTGACACACATGAAAACATTTAAAGTATAATATATTCCAGAAGGTCCTTCAGAGATTGCCTTTTATAGCCTTAAACAGCTGTTTTGCCCTCCTTCCATAAAGTTGTAAACAGGAAATGCCTTGCCTTTTAAAATAAAGGCTTAGTTGCAGAAGAGTAAATAGTAGAAATATGTAGTTTGTGGCAGATTTTCAGATCTTTATGAATGTTAAAGATGTTTTTAAAGCATTAAGAAATCCTTAATGAAAACTTTGTGAAACAAAGTTAATTTTTTAACTCATATTTTCAAGCACCAAGTATTTATCAAACACTGATTAGAAGTTAAACTAATTATCAAATGTGTACTCTTTGGTCTTATCATTGATAGCAGCATTTTTGGTTTGATGATAAGAACAGTGCAGATGAAGCTTTATTTATAGTAGTGAAATAATGGGAAACAACCCAAACCCAAAAAACAACAGAGGACAGTAGAACCAGCCTAATGTCTATGTTACACAGCCACTAAAAATAACTTTTCTGAAGAATATTTAAGGATGGGGAAAGGTTTGCAGTATAATGGAGAAGAAAATAGTACGTAAAACAATTTGAGTTCCTTTATTATAAAAAATAGATACTCTTAAGCTAAAAGGAAAAAAAATTAAGTGATTTTTCTTTGCATGATAGAATTAATCTTCTGGAAACTTATGTTTTAAACAACCAGCATGTGTTAAGTGGGAAAAAAAGATTGTAGAGGGGAAGGTATAGCTCAGGGGTAGAGTGCCTGCTTAGCACGCTTGAGGTCCTGGATTCAGTCCCCAGTGCCTCCATTTAAATAAACAAACAAACAAGCCTAATTACCTCCCCCCTTTAAAAAGTTAAATGAATAAAAAGATTTTAAAAGAAGTATCTTAGTTCTTCGCAACTCTAGGTCTCTCTTGTAACTGTGTGTCTAACAGTTCTTTAAAGCTGGCATTCCTTCTAGAAACCTCAGACAGTTAGGGGGCAAGTGAGGTGGCTAATGCTGGTTTTAGGCAAAAGGAAAGTTTAGAAACAGAGACAGTAGCTGAAGTCAAAGTTTCTTGGAGGACTAGGGAGGAAGAGAGGTATAGACGCAAACTAGCTTGAGGGAAAACCTAAGTAGAAATTGAAGTTAATCTTGAATTGCTAAAATTCCCACTGATGAGTGTGACGTGTCATGTAAGTGCAGACTTGCAGGCCGGCGTTGCCCGAAACCCAGAACTGAAATTCATGTTGTTTCTTAATTTCACCACTTCACTGCTTATATTAGCATGTTCCTTGGGCATGCTCCTTAACCTCTCTGAGCCTTGTTTTCTTGCTGGAAAATGTGCTAGTGTGTTTCATGGATTGTTTTTAATCCTCACAGCAACTCAGTGAATGCTATTATTTAGCCCACTTTATAGGTTTTAAGGAAGCTGAGTCTTGGAGAGCAAGGTCAAAAGCATATCATGCTTTGCAGATACCCATACTTTTATGACCCCAAAGCCCAAGCCATTTGTACCAGTCCACACCTTCTCCAAAAGTGTGTATACTGTAGCATACTACCTGCATGCAGATACCCTGTTACCCTGGGTGGGGAAAGATGGTGGCAATTAGGGCAACATCGAGATGCGGGAATATTATGAACAAGTTAAATACTGTTGCTCCTTCAAACCGGTATTCCTCAAATGTTCAAAATTTATAGATAAAAATAGAGGACACTAAATTTCTATTAATAAAAAGCATGTGCCTCTCTTTGGAACCCCTGTCTGGGTTGGCCTTTGTCCCTTTCAAGACTCCCAAAGCAAACCTCCGTTCACACCAGAGATTTTGTGAGCCAGGCATCCTTTCACGGGGAAGAGGAAAGACAGGCTTAGCACGTTCAAGTGCACGGCTCTGCCCTCGGATCTCCAGCAGACAGGCTGTTCCTCTGCACAGCTGCTCGCTTTCCCCTCCCCTCCCAGCTTCCCCTCCAGGGCTCAGCATTTGACTCTGCTATTTCCTTTCCTCCATGACCCTTCCTGTCCCATCTTCACCAAATCTATTAATAATGCAAAGGAATTTAGTTCTGTGCCAGAGCTTGCTTGGCACCCCATGCTCTCGTCTTCTGTGTGTGTCACAAAGCATTACCCTAAAGATGAAGTCTACAGCAACATGAAGGAAGAGTCTCCGGTTTCCAGAGCAACTTCCACTGAAAATAGTTAGGCAGAGGGGCACTGATGGGGAGGTTGAAAATACCAAGTTTTTTCCCTCTATATATTTAATATCAAGATAATCAATGTATTCCATGCATTTGAGGGAACTGAATGATCTCCGTGTCACCAGTTATTTGAAGAGGAGACACCTGGGTTCAGTGGAACTGTAAGCTGGGTAGTCTAGTGATAGCTTCAGACTTCTTACAGCCAAGGCTGTCAGGCCACTGCCTGCCTAGGCTTCTCCTTCACCTCCATCTGGAGATAACTACACTTCCTTTCTTCATCTTGAATGTGTTTTACGTACTTGTGAAATAAGGGGGGAAATGTCACCTTTTTAAAATTTCTATAGAAATGCAAATCAGACTCCCCTCTTTACCTCAATAAACAGTTAGGGGAACAGAAGTCAATGAAGTCAAGGTTGCCTCTCTCTAAGCTGAGAATGAGAGAGAATGAAGTCACAGACCCAGAAGGCAATGGATGTAAGCAACCACGTGGAACTGTCTAGCCTCGGGGCCCCAGGGGTTTTTCCCCTCCGCGTGGGCTGACCCCAGCTATGGGAGAAGGGGCTGCCGGAGGCAGGCAGATTTTGAGCTTGTCCTATACAGCAGTTCTTAGCCCCAGGGATAGTTAGAAATGGGGACAGGCACCTTTTTTGTTGTGAAAATGACTCGGAGAACCCCGCTGGCATTTGGTGGACAGGGGGTGGGGATGCCCGATGGCCAACAGTACATGGACAGCAAAGCGTGTGTTGCCTGCGGTGCCCGGCGGGCCCCCAGTCAGGAGCAGTGGTGGAGCATCCTGATACTGGCTGCAAACAGGGTCCTCATGGGGAGGACGGGCTAAGAGCTCAGGGAAGCAGATGGAAGAAGCTGTAGGAAAAACCACTTTCTTGCCGCCTGCTGTGTGGGGCAGTGTCCCAGTGTTAAGGAGCAGAGGAGGCATTCTAGAGCCGTGGCTTTCATGTCAGTCATGTGCCGTTAGCGGGTCATGAAGCCAGTTTAGTGTGTCACATGGGCAGTCTTTAACAATGGAATAGAATAGGGGTGGGAGGGTACAGCTCGGTGGCAGAGCGTGTGCTTAACATGGGTGAAGTCCTGGGTTCAATCCCTAGTACCTCCATTAAAATTAATAAGTTAATAAACCGAATTACCTCCTCCCCCCACCAAAACAACAGCAACAACAACAAAAGGAGTAGAATGAAAGCCAACTGAACATACCAGTGTGTCCCAGCAGTAAGAATAAGTGTTGTTTTATATAGTGTGTGGGGGAGTGTGTGTCAAATAAAGACCTCAACTATACTTTTTACTGTGGGTCTCCATAAAAATGTTTGGTAGACATCTCCTCGTAAAGGACCTACTCTTGTTCATGACCCTTTAAGCCCCTGAAGGGGACACAGTAGCCTGAGGTAACCCCTTGACAATGTTTTCAGCCACCCATTTCCCAAGATTCCCTATAAATGGTTAAAGGGGCATGATGGGGGAGGGGCAGGAAGCAAAACTTAATTTTGTTAAATAATCCATCTCTAATTAATTTCTACACTGCGGATTTTTTTTGCGATTGCTTTTATCAGTTGAAAAGATATGATTCATCTCTTAAAGGTTACAACTTAGTGGTGTTGAGTATATTCCCAAAATTGTGCAACCATCACTTCTCTCTGACTCCAGAGCATTCACCCCAAAAAAGAAACCCCAAAGACAGTGTTCTGGAATGAGATCGTGGTGATGGTTGCACAACCTCGTGACTATACTGGACAGTACTGAACTGTATTCTTTAAAAGGATGAAGTTTATAGTATGTGAATAACACTTCAATTTTAAAAACTGAAGGAAAAACACCCATATTAATTAATAGTCACTGCCCATGCACTCCAACTCCCAGTCGCAGCAACCTTTAATCTCCTTTCTGTCTCTGTAGATTTGCCTCTTCTGGATATTTTGTCTTGATAAAATCACACAGCATGTGGTCGGCTGTGACCAGCTTCTTATACTTAGCATAGTGTTTCTGAGGTTCACCCATGCTGTAGCATGAATTAGTACTTTATTCTTTTTTTTTTTTTTTTACTAAAGCAGCTCTCTTTATCCTAATTTTGCAATGAGGATTTTAAGACACAGGTAGGTTAAGTACATTGCCCAAGGACATAACTAATACGTGGTGATTGTACAGAAGTTTAACCACATATTTCACTGAGCATATCATAATTTTAATCTACTCTTCCACTTTCTGTAAGTTACCATCTATCATCAGTACACTCTCCACATATTCTCAAATTCTTCTCCAAGGTTCATTTCTTTTTTAAAGCAATACTTGGCTATGCCTGGAAGACACTGCTTTCCATGCAGGCTATTTTAGACTTTGTTCATTTTTTTGTAACATTTTTTATTGAGTTATAGTCATTTTACAATGTTATGTCGAATTCCAGTGTAGAGCACAATTTTTCAGTTATACGTGAACGTACATATATTCATTGCCACATTTTTTTTCGCTGTGAGCTACCACAAGGTCTTGTATACGTTTCCCTGTGCAATACAGTATAGTCACGTTTATCTATTCTACATTTTGAAATCCCAGTCTGTCCCTTCCCACCCCCCACCCCCTTGGCAACCACGAGTTTGTATCCTATGTCTATGAGTCTGTTTCTGTTTTGTATTTATGTTTTGCTTTGCTTTGTTTTGTTTTAGCACATATGAGCCATCTCGTGGTATTTTTCTTTCTTTTTCTGGCTCACTTAAAATGACATTCTCCAGGAACATCCACGTTTCTGCAAATGGCATCATGTTGATTTTTATGGCTGAATAGTATTCCATTGTATAAATATACCACATCTTCTTTATCCAGTCATCTTTATTCCTCTTTATTGAGAAATAGCATTCCATTATGTGGATATACCACTTTTTTTTTGTCCATTTATCAGTTGATGGACATTTGAGTTGTTTCCTCTTTTCAGCTAGTATGAGTAATTCTGCGGTGAGCATTCATGCACATGTTTTTGTGTGGACACATGTTTTCAGTTCTCTTGGGTATATACCTTAGAGCAAAATTGCTGGGTCATATAGTAACTGGTGTTTAACTTTTGAGGAACTGCCAAATAACTCATAGTGTTGAGTGTCTCTTCATGTGTTTATTAGCCATTTGTAGATCCTCTTTGGAAAAATGTCTATTCAAATCCTTTGCCTAGGTGGGGAGGATATAGCTCAGTGGTAGAGCACATGCTTAGCATGTATGAGGTCCTGGGTTCAATCCCCAGTACCTCTGTTGAAAAATAAATGAATAAAATAAGTAAACCTAATTAGCCTTCTCCCCCCAAAAAAGAAAAAATGAAATAAAGCCTGAATAGGATGAGGTGAGTGACACATTCAGACTCACTCACTTAGATGCAAAATTTTTTTTAATTCTTGGCTCATTTTTTATCGGGTGGTTTGTCTTTTTATTTTTGAGATGTAGAAGTTCTTTATAGCATATTGTGGATACGAACCTCTTATCCAATAAATGATTTGCAAATATTTTCTCTCATTCTATGGGCTGTCTTTCACTTTATTGATAATGTTCTTTGAAGCACAAAGGTTTTAATTTTTATGAAATCCACCTCATCTATTTTTTTCTTTTGTCACGAGTGCTTTTGGTGTCTTATCTAAGAAACCATTGCCCACATGCACAAAGATGCATATACAAGAAGGTTCACTACACGGTCTTTGAAGTAGTAATAACATGTAAAGAAACTAATTGTCCATCAAGAGGAATGTAATTAAATAAACTATGAAACACATGCCCAAAAGAAGCCGTTGCTTAATCCAGGATCACAACTATTTTTGCCTAGGTTTCCTTTCAAGAGTTTTACAGTTTTAGCTTTTACATTTGGTTCTTTGATCTCTTTTGAGTTAATTTTTGTTTATGGGTTGAGGTAGGGGCCTGACCTCTTTCCGTTGAACCTGGATATCCAGTGGTCCCAGCATCATTTGCTGAAAAGACTATCCTATCCCTATTGAATTGTCTTGGGACCTCTGTTACACCTTAAGGGCAAATGTGCGCAACTTTGGAGAACACAATATTCACCTGCAAGCTGGATTTCCTTAATTTGTTTGATGTCCTTCCCTCTGTTTTTTCATGAGGGAAATGTGGAAAATCAGTCTTTCCAACCATGTGTGTCTCAGGGTGTCTGTGAGGGGAGGAAGTTGAGTACTAGAGTTAAAAGTAGTAATTTCATAAAATTTTTTCCAGGATGTAATTTCACACAGAACGAAACTGAATAAGAAAAAAGGTGGAGAAATGGAAATACTGAATAACACTGACAACCAGGGGATCAAAAGTTTGAGTAAGGAGAGGAGAAAAACACTGGAAACATATCAGCAGCTTTTCTATCTTTTACAGGTGAGAACAATTTCTTTCACTGTGAGTGTTGGGTAAATGCTGTGTTCCACATCCGTGGTTTCCAAGGAATCTCCTCCCAGGCTAAAGCTATAATAGTTTACATGTTCTGAGCATCTACTAAGTACCAAGTGCTAGTCTAGATGCTTTATATACAGTATCTCATTTAATTCTTACTACCTGGGAGCCATCAGAAAATAATTCTTACTGTTATTCCCATATTACATATGAGAAAACTGAGACACAGCCAGTAAATGGCAAAGCAAGGAAGCCCGGTGGTTTGACTTCAGACTTTATTCATGCCCTTCATGACTACATTATACTACAATTATCTGCAAAAGCAGTATAAATCTAATAGGAACGTAAGCTGTCACCCATGAAAAAATTAAAGTATATGAAAAACAGGTCTGTACCAGAACCAGCCTGCCCTTCTTTTGAAGAGAGTTTGAATTAGGGAAATATGATTTATTTTTTATTTCATTATTTCCGTGGCATCACTATGATCCAAATGAACAGTCACTTTCCATTGCTTCCAGAGTGTGGGTGAGAACTAAGTTGAACTGGTTACAGCTGGACTCTGATCGGTTTGTGTTTTGTTTGATTATTAACTGACCTCATCTGCCCTACCAGCCCAGACAATGAGTCCCAACGGAGACAGAGGAAGCGATAGTGAGAGGTAGAAACAAAGTTTCCCCTTCAGCAGGAAAACTTTCCCAAAAGAGCTGGATCAGCAGTTCTTTTTTGAAAGTCAGGCATCGTTCCCCCCCACCCTTGCTGTCAGTGATTTCATGAAAGCCTGGAGATGCTTGAATCCTTGCTTGAGGACATCACTGGCATTAGGTGCACAGAGAACACGTTACCCAAACCACAAACGAGATATGGCTAAGTCCCGCTAGGAGAAGAGACACTGATTTTGATAGACTTGAGCATTCTCTACTTGGAATAGATTGGAAAACAGGTGTAGTGCCCCAGATGTCCACGAGGTGGCAGCATAGAAGGAAAAATGTTGAAACAGACTTGTCTGTTGAATCCACTGCTTAGCAACAGCTACTTTTCCAGAAAGAAAGAGGACTCCCGCTAGGCAGGGAAGGATTTTTTTTTTTTTTCCCGCTGAAATGAGGTTAGTAGTCATCCACCAGTTGGAAGTTTAATCTTCAGCATTTATCATTTTTGATTTCCATGAACTTCTGATTATATGAAGCTTCTTAGGATTTAGTCTTCTAGTGTTGCATTTTGATTGAATTTGTGTCATTTGGGAAAGTGAAAATGTAGTCATCAGCCTCAGATTTCTATTGTTTACCCTGTTATGTAAGTGGAGGCTCACTAATGGAAAGGAGAAAAAGCACAAGGGTGTGCTTAGAATAATTCCACCAAGTTTTAGTCCCTCAGCAATCCAAAACGGATAGAACCAGGGCATGACCATTGTACCGAGTGAAGTGTCAGGAAATCATGTATTTTTCTTCACCTTTTCTTCTCTCTTCTTTGATGACATTAACCCAAGACCAGTGAGGAAACAGTGTGGAGCCCTCTCGCCCTTGGAAATGTTAGCCGAAGCAGCAGGTCAGCTAGTGTAGATTTTGTTGTGGGCTTGTCTCTTCAGGATGAGCCTAAAATGGTCATCTGAGAGGAATAAGGAGTGGGCTTCTTCAGCTTTAGAGTAATTTTCCTTTCTCATAATCCCACATGCTTAGTGTGGGGAAAGAATCACCCCGGAAGTCTAAGGAAAAAGTTGTCCTGAGCTGCTGCATCATAAAATTTCAGCCATTCATCACGAACTTGAAAGTAAATCCAAGTGGTAAATTAAACTAGAATTTGGGTTTTCTTAAAAACTTTAAAGCCAAACTGCTTGAGTATATTAGGTAAATACTGGTTTCCGTGTATGGAAATTTTTTTTTCCTCATCAGAAAATGAAGAGCCAGACTGTGAAATTTCTCTGTAATGTAAATACTGTTCTTTCTCTTCTCATCTCCATCTGCTTGGTGTAGCTATTGGAGAAAAATCACATTCCCACGAAGCCTGGTGCTACCTCTCTTAGACCATCCTCAGCAGAGCTCTCAAGGCTTTTAAATTGTCCTTTTTTTTTAACTGAAATATAGTCAGTTATAATGTGTCAGTTTCTGGTGTACAGCATAATGTTTCAGTCATACGTAGACATACATATATTCCTTTTCATATCTTTTCATTATAGGTTACTACAAGCTATTGAACATAGTTCCCTGTGCTGTACAGAAGAAACTTGTTGGTTATCTACTTTATATATAGTAGTTAGTATTAAATTGTCCTTTTTTTTTCCTTATCGGTTAGCATTTCCCCCATCAATTAGCCTGACCTTCACCCCTCTCTTCACCTCCCCAGCTCACTCCTTCTAAAACATCATGGCCATCTACTGTCTCCAAATGTAAATGTGTCCTTTTCTTTTTCTTTCTACTCTCAGACTATGGGATGTCTTTCCTTCTCTTCATTCATTGATCCTCCTCGGGCCCTTGGTCTACTCTTACCTGTCTCTTCGGATACCGGATCTCTCGGCCACCCCCTCTCTCTTCTGTGTCTCTACAATAAATTTTAACATGTGGCTCCAAATGGTGACTGGTGTAAAGTGTACATATTTCATCACATATGTCATTATATAGTGTATAAAGTGTAAATCTTACCGTAACTTTCTAATACAACTTCCTGTGGTATGGTACTCATATTAGCTGCTACCTTTTACAGTCTTAGTGTGTGCCAGATACTATATGCTTTATACACAGTGAGTCTTTGAAGAGCAGGGAACTGGGTGCTCTTCTCTGCTTTAATAATTTATTAACATACAGTTCGGGGGGTGGTTCTTCTTCCCTCTTTCCTTTAGACCAACCCTTTGTACCTGGCTAAGCTGATCTTCCAGATGCCACAGAACAAGTCAACCAAATTTATGGACACTGTGATTTTCACACTGTACAACTATGCATCCAATCAGCGAGAAGAGTATCTACTCCTCAAGCTTTTTCAAACTGCTCTGGAGGAAGAAATAAAGTACGTACGTCAGTACATGTGCAAGGCTACCAATGAGTAGATCCTTTTGTTAGCGGTGGCTATCTCCGGTTTACTAAAATAATTTAAAAATTATCCTTTGAAGTTATTTATATGTACTGAAAATTTCTTGAGAACCTTCTACGTCAATATAAAAGTATTCAGGTACAGCTTTCTCCCGCCAGTGATACCTTTTCTACTGCTAAATTCACTTCTGATTTTGCAGGTATACAAAGCTTTTTGAAAGTCAATGAGAAAATCTGACTTAAGTAGACTTATGTGGGAAATAAAGCCATCAACAGATAAGGGTAATGATTTCTGCTATGTAGTCTTTCCTTCTTCCTGGAACTTAAGCTGCTTTTTGCTAATTTATTTTCTGACTCAGTTAATATGAAAAAAATGTGTTGGTAGTTATAATGAATGTGGGGAGGTGAGGGGGACATGAGAAGATGCCCTTAGCCAACCAGATGGATCTTAACCACCTTCCTGACTTCCTGATACCTTAAGCGATGCTAGTCCTATAGGTCTCAAGCTGTTAGCCAGGCTAATATTAGCTCTGCCCTCAAGGTGTGTATAAGCTATGCTATGCAGTAGAACAAGGTAAGTGCTAAAGGAATGATGTGCACAGTGGAACAGATCAGAGGGATGGAAAGAAAAGTTCCAACTAGGTCAGTCGATGAAGATTTTATGGAAAAGAAGGCAGTTGACCCAACACCTTGAAGAATATCTACCGTTTTTATAAAAAGAAACAGAAAAGAGAAATTAAGCAGAATGGTGATAGAAACAGCATGGGCCTGGGTGCGAGAAGGAGGGTAGATTAGTCCAGCCAAGAGTGACTTAACTAGCGGCCCCCCGGAAGTGAGGCTGGAAAGATGGGTTGGGCCGGATCATGGGAGACACTGCGTCCGGGCCCAAGTACTGAGGTTCTCGTTACTTCCTGGGAAGCGGTGAAGGGTATTTGAGGAGAGTTTACTGACACGACCACTTCACGTTTTGAGAAGGTTGATCTGCTGGCTGCGCATGAGCAGCATAAATTGGAGCGACAGTTCAGAGACTGAGGTTTAGATTTCCAGCACACTGAATTTGAGCTACAGGTATAGGCTGTGTGGATCTATCCAGCAGAACATTGGAAATTCAAGATCAGCTCCCAGGAAGGAGACAGGAATTAGACATTGAGATCAGAGGATAGATTCCTGGAAGTTGGTAGTTGAAGCTACGTGTGTGAATGAAATCTGAGGGGAGCGCATGTAGGAAGAAGTGAAGGAAGACAATTAAAATGTTGGGATCGAGGCTAGAGAAGGGAACAGAAGGATGACCAGATCAGACAAGGACGAGAATACAGCACTGTCAGACTCTAACGGGAAGGGAGGTGGGTAAGGGAGAGGGTGGTCCAGCTGGAGGAGGGTGAGAGCTTGCACGGAGAGGATGGGAGGAGCGGAGGGAAGGTCACAGGAGTTGGCAATCGGAAGCCAAGAAGAGCTCTCCCGGCGACGTGATGTCGCTAGACGTCACACTGCAGTGAATTTGAGTGGGACTTGAAGAGAAAGAATTCGTTCAATCAAGAAAGTTATTTTGAAATTTGGTAACAAGAGGGGTGCGATACTTATAACATGTCACCCAGTATTATTAGTCTTGATCCATTGTTAGTTCATTTCTGCCTTCTTGATTGAAATTAAAGCTGAGAACTTGTTTTTAGATCCTTCGGTTTCTCGAATAAGAACCACTCATCTTACAAATGACAGCTTCCTTTTAAAACATACCGTCTTTGAAATCTCCATTGGAGAAAAATACAGCCCCACAAAGCCTTCGCCGGCCAGAGAGAATATACATTGTTGAAAACTCTATCCATAGAGTCAAACCATTTGATTTGGTTTGGGCTTTTTCTAGATCAAAGGTGGACCAGGTCCAGGACATAGTTACTGGGAACCCAACAGTCATCAAGATGGTGGTCAGCTTCAACAGAGGTGCCCGTGGGCAGAACACGCTGCGCCAGCTCCTGGCTCCGGTGCTGAAGGACACCATCGATGACAAGGCCCTGATCATCAACACGAGCCCTGTGGAGGTGTACAAGGCCTGGGTGAATCAGCTAGAAACACAGACTGGAGAAGCCAGGTAGCAAAGCCAGGGCGACGCTGGTTTTCAGTCGTTTCATGATCTTTTTCACACGTGTGTATTTATACATACTCTTAAACTCTGTTAAGCTCTGTCAAAAGAACAGAATTGACTCTACGAAGTCAGCTTCCAATCCGAGATATCTTTCCCTCCCTCTAACTTACCCACGCAGACCGCGTTCTTGGACTCCTGCTCATCTTGACAGTACTTGGTGTTTTCAAATTTTGGTACCAGTTGATTCCCAAAGCCACAACTTCCAGAGTCCTCTCCCATGGTTTTTCTTTGTGTGTTCCTAACCGTAGACCTAGAAATAGCACACACTTTCTCTTCACCTGATAATACCTACTTTTTCACATTTTACCAAGTGATTAACTTGAACATGTGAGCATACACAAGCCAGCTGGGACTGACTTCTTCTGGGTGGTGGTTTGTAGACCTAAGCCATCCCAGGTCCCGCAAAAGGATGCCTTGTGAAGTGATTAAGATAGGCACAGAGAATTGCACGGGTGGTTGTCACAGCGCTGTTTGTAATAGCAAACACTGGGGAAAGTCAAAATATTTAGCTTTGGGGAATCTGTTAAATAAATGTTTGTATAACACATATTTGAGTAGTAAGCAGCTATTTGGAATGGTGGTATAGAAATATATTCGTTGGCCTGGGGAAAACATTATGGTATAGGTTTCAGTTTTAGTTTGGTACAGTAACTCATTGTCTATTTTTAAAAAATTGAGCATATATACACACATACACGTAAGATCTGTATGGGATGTGTATATATACAAACTGCATTACACCCAGGAACGTGTGAGGCCTGTATATGCAGACATGCGCAGAGAAGGACCTAGAAAGGTGTATGTAGTGCAGTAAGATAGGGAAAGTGGTTCTATCTGGGTCAGTGTTGTTTTCTTGTTTGTTTCTATGCAACTTTTATAGTAAAGAACATATTGCTCTTTTTAATTGAAGTATAGTCCATTTACAATGTTATATCAATTTTTGGCATACAGCATTATAGTTCAGTCATACATATACATACATATATTCCTTTTCACTATAGGTTACTACGAGATATTGAATATAGTTCCCTGTGCTATACAGTAGAAGCTTGTTGTTTATTTTATAGATAGTAGTTAGTATCTGCAAATCATATTGCTTTTTGTAATTAAAAAAAGGGAGAGAAAGTTAGCTGGGTCTACATTACCTGGGTCTGCCTGTTATTTTTGCCAGAAGAGCCCAGATGGAGACTGGAGTCTCCTGGCTTCACTGGTGCCAGAGGATTCCATGTGGGCATGCAGGGTCTCCACCCCCCACACCCCCAGCTAATATTTTATCATTGGAGTCGGTGGGCAAAGTCCCATTCACAATACAGAGCTTGACCATAGAACCAGCTTGGCAAGGATACAGATCCTTGTACCTAAGCCCCCAATTCACTGGAAGCCCCTGTGTGTTGTGTTTTCAGCAAGCTGCCTTACGATGTGACCACAGAGCAAGCTCTGACTTACCCAGAAGTGAGAAACAAACTGGAGGCATCCACCGAGAACCTGAGAAGGGTCACAGACAAAGTCCTGAATTCTATCATTTCCTCCCTGGATCTACTGCCGTAAGTCGTACATGTCACAACTGTAACATTCTTTGCTGAAAGCTCTTGGAAATGTTATGTAAAATAAACCCCGGTAGTGAAGATAGGAGTTCTCCCTTATATTGCACTTAATAGTTTGAAAGTTTGCTGACTTTGGCATTTGTAATTCATGGCTGTTCTCCGGGGAGGGAACAGTGTAAAACAGTACTCAGTTACTGTCATCCATGGCGGTCCTGTGATTCCGTTACCATCTCATTTTGTGTTTGGTTTTTAGGGAAACTGCTCGGCTTTAGTTGACTGCAACAGTTTCTGCGTGTTTCTTCCTCACTTAGCCTTTTCCATTATTTTCTTTTGTCATCTGTTTTCCATGTAGTTATGGATTGAGGTATATAGCCAAAGTACTGAAGAATTCGATCCATGAGAAATTTCCCGATGCAACAGAAGATGAGCTATTAAAGGTAGATTTTCAAGGGTGAATCTCACCGTAGCTTCTTTTGGGGGTATGAGCCAAAATTACCAGCACACCGATTTTGTAAAATGTTTCCCCTTGTGTGACTGTTTATACTAAGCTACAGGTCTTCTGTTTCTAATGGCTATCAAGATTGTTGATTATCCTGAGGTTAATTTGGAGATCATACCCATTATTGAGATTCTTTATATTAGAGCATTTGGGGGCAATGGCATATTTTTTATCAAAAATAATTTTATTAACTATATTAGTCATGTATGATTATATTCACTGACTTTACTTAACTGCTTGTTAGGAATCAGAAGATAATTTGCTTTCTTGGGAAACGTCAATTAATATTCACTTTTTAAAAATGCTCCAAAGTCTTGAGTTTTCTCTCTTAAAAATAGTCTTTTCTTCTGCGTCACACCAGATTGTCGGAAACCTCCTGTACTATCGGTACATGAACCCAGCCATTGTAGCCCCAGACGGCTTTGATATCATCGACATGACGGCCGGGGGGCAGGTGAATTCTGACCAGAGGAGAAACTTGGGATCCGTGGCCAAGGTTCTTCAGCACGCAGCCTCCAACAAGCTCTTCGAAGGAGAAAACGAGCATCTCTCATCTATGAACAGTTATTTATCAGAGACGTATCAGAAGTTCAGGTACAAGGGCTCATTCCCTTTGGAGAAACGTACAAGATGGCGGGCACAAATGATGTGTGTTCTGTGTCCAGAGCTGGAGTTGGGGGTGCAGGCAGGAATCTCGGGGGGTTGCAGTGGGTTTCTTCTACTGGTTGGCACCAAAGAGGAAGGGGGAGGGGGGAGGAGGCTAGATTACTTCTGTCTGGTGTTCCCTGTCCCCTCCTCCACCCCCGCCCCCAGCGCCCCTGTGCCACTGAGTCATCCCCATATGTGTGATTTCTACTGTTGACAAAATGAAATATTTATTCTTTTTGCTGGGCTATGGGCGTATAGTACTTAGAATTACAATATCAGAATAGCTAGCTTCTGCTTTCTGAACTTAAAAAGAGGGTTTGGTTTGGTTTTTAAGTACTTGTCCACTGAGGAAAAGCTTGCCTGATCTGCATCAGACGGTACTAGGAAACTGAGTATTTGGTTTTGAAAGGCTGGGAAAATCCAGCTTTTATATTTGTTGAGGATTGGGTGTGAGTATGTTCTGTTTTATTCTCAAACATCTCTTAAATAGACATGTAAAGTAAGTCTGTTGACGTCATATGTTTTCTGAATTGTGTCGACTGATCATTCCACGGGGACATGGGGGGAGGCAGTCTCACAGGAGGATTCTCTCACCCTGAGGCACCCTGAGGGGACACAGTCACCTTGCCAATTGTATTCTCTTTCCCACTGTTCAGTCAGTAAGTCATACAAGTGTGACATCAGTGTGGCCCTTTTCACGCCACCCCTGGAAATGATAATTTCCCATTCGTCAGTTTTCCTCTGGATGAGTGATTTATCTCCTGACGAATGTAGTTCATGATCATGAATCTCTGTTTGGAATTTGTGATCTCTTGTGAGAAAATTTCCCCCAATCCTCTCACTCAGGGAAGTTTTGATTCCTCAAGCTGCTCATTTTAGGTCTTCTCACTGACCAAAAAAGTAACATCCATTTCTTGCAGATATCTGCTGTTAGAAGCTCTTTTTACTTCTTTTTTTCTCAGATTATTCCCACCCGACACCTGTTTTCAAGTCTTCTTCACGTAAAAGGAAACAAAACCAAAAGCCCCCTTCATCTCTTAAATACTATCTTTCTTTTTCCCTCTTCCACTCAAATTTATCCTTTGTGTTCCTCAGCAACCTATGAAAGATCATAGCCCAAAGGAAAAAAAAAAAGAAAAGAAAAAAGAAAAGAAAAAAAAGCACTTCCAAACAGTGCAGGGAGACTAGTTGTCACGTGGGACATGACCACCATTTAACCTCCCCCAGCCCGAGGGTGGGAAGACAGAGCTCTTTGTGGTGTACAAGCCTTGGGTGCCCTTAGGTAATAGACCCAGGATAATTTCAGGTTTATGAAACATTTACAGATTTATAGAATAAAATA